TCGTGGCCGCGGCCGGCAGCCACTCACCACCAACACCTTTGACTACGCCACCTACCACAGCCTGGATGAGGTGAGAAAGCGTAAGATTCGGGGCGTTTGGGGGGAAAACTTGCATCCTTCCCTCCACGTGCAGCAAGGGAAGGGGGTGAGCTGGGAATGACCCCCTCCCCATCCCTATCCCTCAGATCTACACCTTCATGGACCTGCTGGTGGCCGAAAACCCCAACCTGGTCAGCAAGCTGGAGATCGGCCGTTCGACGGAGAACCGCCCCCTCTACGTGCTCAAGGTGAGGATTTGGGGTTTGTGGGGTGACCGGAGGGAAAAGCGGGGCCAGGGGCAAAGCCAACCCCTCCCTCTCTGCTCTTCCAGTTCAGCAAGGGAGGGACGAACCGCCCAGCCGTCTGGATCGACACCGGCATCCACTCCCGCGAATGGGTGACGCAGGCCAGCGGCGTCTGGTTCGCCAAGAAGGTACGGGCACCTCCGGCCATGCCTACGCCCCCGAAGGGTGACACGATCCTGCAGCCACCACGGATGCCAGGTGGCCGACCCCCACGGAGGGGATGGTGCTCCAGCAGCACCAGGGAGCCCCAGACCGCCATCCTCTCTAGATTGTCCTGGATCATGAGAATGACGAAGGTCTGGCCTCCATCCTGGACAAGATGGACATCTTCCTGGAGATCGTCACCAACCCCGACGGCTTCGTCTTCACACAAACCCAGGTACCGCCCCGGGTCTCCTCTCCCCGGCTCCCACGGCCACGCTGGATGGGGCTGAGGAGCAGGATTGGCGTGCTGCACGCAGAGGCCTCTGAAAGCTCAAATCCTCCTTGTCTACACTTCCATGGGGTGGGAAGGGGACCACCGTGACCCATTAGACACCCCAGACGACAGGCTCCCCCCCCCCCCGCCCACTGGAGGCTGGCGGAGCTCTGGCCCCGGACACCAGCTGAGACGGCTCTGCTCTTCCAGAATCGTATGTGGCGCAAGACCAGGTCCAGAAATCCGGGCTCCGCTTGCATCGGCGTGGACCCCAACCGCAACTGGGACGCAGGTTTCGGAGGTCAGAGCTCTCCCGCTAAGCCCACAGAGGGGTTCTGCCCTCCAGGTGGAGGCTGTGAGGCCATTTCTGGCTCAGGAAGATCCACCCATGTCCCCTGGGGAAAGGATGGGAGTTGCTCTCCGTGGCAAACGTGGGTTTGAGCTTCTCCGGGGTTCCGGAGTCCCCTGGTGACCAGCACGGTCATCATACAAATGTCCAGGAGGAGCCCCGAGTGTTCCACCAAGCAGCTGAGGGGTGGCAAGAGCTCTTGGGCTCGGAAACGGAAAGAGCCCTTTGCCCTCCTGGCTGAGCTACCCAACCTCCACCAAAGCCACCGAACACCCAACGCCGTGTTTTCACTTCTCCACAGGGCCCGGGGCCAGCAGGAACCCCTGCTCGGAGACGTACCACGGACCCTACGCCAACTCGGAGCCCGAGGTGAAGGCCATCGTGGACTTTGTGAAGAGCCATGGGAACATCAAGGCTTTCGTCTCCATCCACAGCTACTCCCAGCTCCTGCTCTACCCCTACGGCTACACCAGCGCCCCAGCGCCTGACCCGCAGGACACGGTAGGGG